CTTTGCTGCTACAGCTGCTTTACTTCAGAGAGGGGTTCCAAACTCAGCTGCTGGCTTCAAGAAGTCAAACTGGAGAGGAGGGGGGATTCCAGCAAAGTAACTGAGTTCCTTTTCTGAGGCCGTCTGCACCATGGTCGTGAAGAATAGAGGCAAGGTTTCCATGCAGAATATAACAGGACACCCAATGGCAGACCCTCAAGAACATCCTTCTTCGAACTTCTTTTGGAGCTCAATCAGCAGATTCATTTCTGATGCAGGACATTCACCATAAAGCTTCTTTAATATACCTCAGTGTGTCCCAGAGTGTGGTGAAATCTAAGATTTAGGATCTGAATAAATCTCACGTCTGGCCACAAGGGGGAGTATTCAAGAGAAACCGTCAATAGCGCCACTGCAACTCATGCAGGAGGAATGGGAAAGAGAACTGCCTCGGGAGGTGGAGGATGCTCCTTCACTGGACGTTTTCAAGCGGAGGCTGGACGACCATCTTTCGGGTATGTTGTAGGTATGTAGGGCTATCTTTCAGCTATGCTCCTGCAGAGTGCAGGGGATTGGACTAGATGACCTGCAAGGTCCCTTCCAACTCTAACATTCTATGATTCTATGATTCTAACTTTCTTCCCCTCATTTTCCCTGGCAATCTGTTATCTGCTGCCATCCAGTACTGCCAATGACCTGTTTATGTTTGTACAAAATGCATGATGAAGACACTCTCCTCAGTATCAAGATAAATCAATTTTTTTTAAAAAAAACCCTTACTTCTGGCTCTTAACATGTTTGTAATTGACTGTTCATTAACAAATACAGACTGTGTTTCAGCATGCGCGTTCTCTTTGGGGCATGCAAGGGAGCGCCAGTAAAGCATATCCTCTGCCTGGCACACATATTGCACATAGAATTCATGGAACCTGATCCTATCTATGTTTTCCCAGGAGTTCAACTGGAGTTCTTCCCAAGCCGTGATAGCTTGCAGGTTTTTAAGAGCTGTCGGGCAAGACATTTTCACCAAGTCACCTTCACCAGAGATGTAGAATGTAAGTACATAAGAGAAACCAATGTTGGATTGTTGGATTAGGCCAATGGCCCATCCAGTCCAACACACTGTCACACAGTGGCCAAAAATACCAGGTGCCATCAGGAGGTCCACCAGTGGGGCCAGAATGCTAGAAGACCTCCCACTGTTGCCCCCCCGCCCCCGAAGCACCAAGAATACAGAGCATCACTTGCCCCAGCCTGAGAGTCCCTATCTATGCCTTGTAACTAATAGCCACTGAGGGACCTCTGCTCCATATGTTTATCCAATTCCCTCTTGAAGCCGTCCATCCTTGTAGCCTCTAACAGTGCTCCATGCTCAATGAAAACATGGGGCTTTTTAGATGTTGGGCCGGTTGTTCATTCCAGACACTGGCAGATGCCCAGCCTTTGGACAATAGCCCTGTCCCCAGGCAAGCGAGCAACCATGCAATCATAGGACGGCAGCTTTAGATGAACTAAAGATCCATGTATTCATTTGCACGTACACGTTATCAACACAAAGCAAATCACAGCACAGCATGCACAGAAAGTTTAACACACTCATTGCAGGCTCATGTTCAATATAACCCATGCAACTAAACATTAGGAAGAACTTCCTGACAGAGCGGTT